AATTATTTGCAAAATAGTTTGCTTTCTTTCGTGTAGGGTGAAGGGCGTTTGCTTGAAATGTCGGAACAGCGTTCACGGAACGAGAAAGAATTTAGTGGAAGAGCAGTGGAAAGTGCAAGACAAATTAAACCAGAAACTATATCAAACGTCTTGAAAAGGAAAGCAAATGATGACGAAGATTTCGATAAGGCTTGATAATTACAGTTTGTACTCTGTTTTGTTCAAGTTACTGTTATATATAGTTATAACATTGCTACATTTTGTTGTGACACGGTGTTTAAATCTTTTCATCACTATCTCTTTGTTTTTTTATGAGGAATTCACCTTTATAATGCTACTCAAAGTACAAAAAATTCTGTTGTTTGTTTATATGATCTCATAGGCTTATTCGCAGCCATTGTAAAATCCTTCCTCTAAAATCTCATCGCTCAATTTATGCTTCCACAGTATTGTTTGTAATCCATTGCCTGTACATTTAGAACAGTTATAACGAATGGGTGAATATTTGTTTGTAGTACTAGATCCATGTAACAGTCCGCCTTCGTCTAACGTCTTCGAAATATCAAAGGTTCAGCAAAGGATTTAGTTAGTAGTTTCATATCGATTTTTGCATTGGTTGGTAAAGGCTGACATTTTATTAGAAAGCAATTAAATTACCTATTTGGCCATTGTTACTTAGTGACTTAGTCACAGACAGTACTTTGTGAACTTTTGTTATGAGAGGATTTGATACGTGCTTGCTGCATTTTAAGCAGCAGGTTACTGTTAGAATAAAATTTCCAAGCGCTAATTTCCAACCTTGAACGTTACCACAGACAGTTTATCACAATGAATTAATTGAATCCCTTGTCCTGGTAAGCTATTGCGGAGGTGGAATTATTTTAGCAATGAAACTACTGTCGGTAGTGCTCATTATGTCGTCAAAATGTGAGTAAGAATGTTCCAGGTGCGTGCGGTTTGTACGTTAACCATTGTTGTTGAGTGCAAGAGAAAGAGGAAAGGGAATGAGTATGGTAGGGAAGCGTGGGTTATTTTCATGTGAAAAAAAAAAATGTTTAGCTCTTCTTGATTGAAGGGAGGAACAGTCAGTGTTCGGTATATATATAAGCTGTAAGAAGCTTTGTCTTATTTAAACTGTGGTCAGCTGAGTCGGTAGGAAATTCTAGAAGTTTGCAGGGTTGATGTAGTTTATTTGGTTTGTAAGGACCTTCATTAGTAACACTTGAACAGTAGAAGTGTAAAGGAATTGAATAAAAAAGTTATGATCAATGACAGGAATAATGGAACAACAAATTATGCGACCTTTTAATGGATAGTTGTCAACAACAAATCCAAGACACACTATAAACAAGCCAAGATTTCGGCATGAAGCAATTCAGAATTTTGTTTATTTGTCTCAGTACTACAACTCTGAATATGAAATCAAGCGTTTCAGTAGGCGTTATGACAAAAAATAAGAGCTTCTTTGGCGAGATACCATTCCAAATGGAGCGGTTGCAAGAAGTTTTCTTTATTTGTGAGAAAAAAAAGTAAAGCATAGAAGCATAACGTATGCAGTTCATTTGTATAGGACAAACAGTGATTACATTTTAATATCGAATTTTGCAACTAATATTATGACAAAAACTCATTTAAATTCATTACAGCGATTTTAGATTATTGTAACAACGTACATTATCGTCGACAGTTTTGTTTCAGAACTCGTCAAAAGTATCAGTGTAAAGTTAGGCCTATAATTTCCAGTAGATTTAGTATAATTTATCGTGATAAAAAAGCTCCTTTCACAGTTTTGCTTTTATCAGTTTAAAATTCATTACAGAAATTATGAAACTATTAGAATGGTCCACAAATTGCTGCAAATCATCGGATTGTTTTCAGCATCTGCCATCAACTTCACAGAATTTTGAGCCGTATTCCACTAAACTCACTGAATTAGGTCTAACTAACTGTTTGTCGTAGTATCATCATTTTGCGGTATGAATCATTTGACGTTAGATACTTTTAATATTGCTGAAGTTTTATGTTCACCTATATGTAGTTAACTGTTTTAATTTTATTTTTCCTTATACCAGTAGAACTGATTTAGTGTTTCAAACTTTGAACTTTGATCATTTCGGCCATTCAATTAATCACTCAAAATTTGTACTTATATCTGCTTTATGGCGTCGTTTTTTTTTTTTTTTCTTTTTTTTTATATGAAAATAAAAGACTAGAAATAGTTTTTAAATTGAACTTTTTTCTTTCCAAGAATTCTCTGAGGCATCTATAGTGTGTTCAAATAATAATGATGGTTTTGGTTTTTGTACACTAAGCACAAAAAAAAGTGATTTTCAGAAGACTGTCAGAACGTAAAATATTGATATTTCTGGTGAATTTTTGATTCTTTTACCAGTTGTAGCCAAGAATGGGTTTAATTGAAGACTATTCAGTAAAAAATTTAAGTTTCTAAATTTTAGTGTACAATTGTCAATTCTTAAGACTATAACCATTTTCTTTTTTATAGCATTCGGCTCATTAAGTCATTCATTAAATCTGTCGACTGGCCTGGTCAGTCGCTCATTCTTTTAGTGCTTTATTGTTGTAAATTTTGACTGCTCGATCTTCACAGTTTTGTAGCACCTAATTAATGTTTTCTACATTTGAAAGTACCCCCAGACAATTTTTCAGCACTTTATTTATTTATTTATTTATTTTGAATTCAACTCTTTGCCGCTTCCCTAATCGCATTATTAGCATCTAAAACAGCAACAGTATTGCATGTTTTGGTTAAAAATATACTGCTATCACCTTTAAAATCATCCAAACTGGCGGAATTTTGTTTTTTTACCATACCAGCTACCGGCGCTACAAAATGCTTACTTTCTGCAGCATAAAATGCAACAGCGAATAGAAATTTTCTCCTTCTTCATACTCGATAGGATTTTTCAAACCAACTGAAGGCAAAGATTTGAAATCAAAGGTTTTTAGTAATTTTTGAAAACAGCGGTTTGCAAAAGTGTGAAGTCAGAAAAATGTGATTGATAATTTGCAGTTTGAACCGTCCAACTGTTGTGGACCTTGAAACCTTTATGTTTTGTTTCCTTACAATTACTATTCTGTCTGCTTTTGGGTGCATCAAACATTTTATAACGACAAAGAACAGAGCAAATTTAATTTACCGTTTTCAGATAATGAAATTTTTTTTTTGATACAATACTTTTAATGCTAAATTTTTTCTGCTAATCCATTTTTTTAGGCTTGAAATGTTTTAATTTCCGGATCCAACTCAAGTTTTTTTAGCAAAAAAATTTCCAAGATCAATTAATAGGTGTAAAAAAAAATACTATATCTTATAAGAAAATGCTTTTAACATATGTAAATAATTAGTAAAGATTTTTGACGCGTTAAGTGTAAAAAAACTGTGATCAGCAGATGACAAAAGCCCAAACTAATACAAAGGACCCAAAAGTCCAAACCTAACCAAAAAAAAATGTCAAATTTAAAACCGTATTGAAGGAAGTTCATTATTTCTTGATAACTAATATGAGATATAAATATTTATTAGCTAACTTACGAGAAATAAACAGCCAAAAATGCTCCCATTACTCACGAGACTGGTCAGCATAAAATATCAAAACTATTTCCGTTTTTTTTTCTTCTAACATCCAATTCGTCATGAGTAACTGTTGAAAATGTTGATGGAAGCGGAAATATATAACAATCAGAAGCGTTTCGCATAGACAACCGATACTTCTAAAACTTTCATAACATAATCTTATTATACAGTGATTCAGCAACAACTGCCGTACAGTTTTGTTTAGAGATCAGCAATTTTCTGTCCTTTGTACTTTTTTTTTTACTGCTTCTGGCTTTTATGGTTCATTCTTACTACTTCAAAAACTGTGGCTCATAAACGCACAGTGGCTCATAGACGCTTTCGTCCTTATAGTTTAAAAAGCAGCAATAATGATAATAATAACGATAGTGTAATAAAAATAATGATAGTAATGACAAAAACAAAAATAATAATAATAACAATAGTAGTAACTATGAAAGGGCAAATACTTATTCAGTACAGCTATTATATCAGAAGACGTCAGAGCATAATATCTCCCAGACTAACTTCACACGACATCAGTGATTAATTCCACACCTATGAATCTGAAGCAATCACAACCAGAAGCTGAGCATTCTAAAGAATATTGATATAGAAGAAAAAATTTTCCTCATCAATTTTTTCAACCCTCCAGAAAACCTAATATTTATAACAAAGGCTATGAAAAGCCAATTCAAAAATTGTAGAAGCAATTCTTATTCATATACGAACTACAGTCTACATATAAATTAGGCCTATAGTCGACGGCACAAAGAGCGCTACTCTCAATTCGCAAAGAAAAAAATGAAAAAGCTCGAAAAGAACAAAAAATAAGCAAAGTAAAAAAATGTAAGATTTATAATTCAGAAATTAATCTTCTATACTTAATTTTTTTTTTTTTTTTTTGCAGTATACACTGCCATAAACTATTACAGAAAACAAACAACTGGGAGTAATGTCGTCCGTCCATTTGAGAACATTCCACAGATGTTGCACCTAAACAAACTGCCGTGCGGGAAATACAGAACAAAAAACACGATTAGTTCCCATTACAGGTTTATAATGTAAACAATTTTTACGTTTGCTGCTACAGTATTAAAAATGTAAATACAGTGAAGTATTTCTATTATTACTTTTATTTTTATTTTTATCATTTTTAGTTGCTTCTACAACTTCTAATGCGTGTTCGGGTGCCTGTCAAACGACGTTTACAGATCATACTATACAAATACATCAAGCACGTCTGCAAGAAGTACCTAACAAGTTGTATAATATACTTTCACCTGCAATATTAAGGGCTTTACCTTCAAACTGTTATACAATCTAAAATGGAACGATACAGAACACAAAACTCCTACTCTTAAGCCCCGTGATTCGAAGATATAAAAAGTTGTAGAGAGCGCTAAGAACTTTTAACCGTTTCCCATTAAACTAGACTAAAAACTCAATCAATTGACAGTTTCCTTATTCTAGCAGTCCTAGATTAACAAAACAAGAAATTATAAAACACAGCTTTGGTCAAAAAACCTCACAATTTTTACATCCTTTTAAATTTTTCATGAGCCATAGTACAGCCAATATTAAACAATACGAAAAAAAAAAGAGGCATAAGCCCCCAAAAGATTTACATTTCCCGCAGTCCTTTTTTTACTCAGGCTTATATCTGTACTAGTTAAAAATAAATAAGAAACGCAAAACATTTCTTAATGAAAAACTCAAAATAACACTGTTATCAGAAAACCAAAAATGTACTCTACAAGAGTGGCATTCAAGGTCATTCCTGTGAATTACTCTTATCAACCGGCATAAGGCGCAATATCTTAATATAGTGCTAAAAGAGTTATACGTAATTTCAGTGTTACTTAAAACAGCCAATCAGAAATGAAGAAGGACGAAAGTAACCAATCAGTGCACTAAAGCAATAGATGAGTTTTAAGAAAATGACTGACTGCCTGATAAGAGTAGGATATAAGCATCACGGAACGGTCGCTTGTTTCATTGTCGGGGAACGAAAATGTGCGACGAAGATATTGCAGCATTGGTTATTGACAATGGATCTGGTATGTGTAAAGCCGGGTTCGCAGGGGACGATGCTCCTCGCGCCGTTTTTCCCTCCATCGTCGGTCGACCCAGACAGCAAGCCGTTATGGTTGGCATGGGCCAGAAGGTACCTATTAATTTTAAAAAGAAATCTGCAGATACTTTTTACTGTTAACATATTTTACAAATGTCTCATTTAATTGTACGATTCAAAACTTACTCAAGTTCAAATTACTTATCATAAACAAAAAAACACTGTATTAATCGTTGAATGGCTCATTTAAAAAACGTAACTACAGGACTCCTACGTGGGTGATGAAGCCCAATCAAAGCGAGGTATTCTTACTTTAAAATACCCTATCGAACACGGAATTGTAACTAACTGGGATGATATGGAAAAAATTTGGCACCATACCTTCTACAATGAGCTCCGTATTGCTCCTGAAGAACACCCAGTTCTTCTTACCGAAGCTCCACTGAATCCTAAAAACAACAGGGAACGCATGACACAGGTAATTAGTCAAAACAATATTTTGCATCTATCCAATATTTCAGAAAATTTCGGCTTAAAAATGCTGTAATGTGAAGCAACCACAGTGTACTTTGCATATTGCCTTACAGATTATGTTTGAAACCTTCAACACACCTGCAATGTACGTCAACATCCAAGCTGTACTGTCACTTTACGCCTCTGGCCGTACGACTGGTATCGTCTTAGATACTGGTGATGGAGTGACTCACACCGTGCCCATTTATGAAGGTATCCAGTACTCTGTGATACTCGCAATTCCTGCCTAATTTTTACAACTTTAAACGTAAAAAACTCTACAAGCAACTAATTTATTTCAGGCTATGCTCTACCTCACGCGATCCAGCGACTAGATCTTGCTGGGCGAGACCTCACTGATTACTTGATGAAGATCTTCACAGAACGCGGGTACACCTTCACCACCACAGGTGAACTTTTTAAGTTTCGCTGTGCAATATTTGGCCGCCCTCAGCGATTACTCTCAAAAGTAAAATCATAACAGCTACCAAACTGTTTTTACAGCCGAACGCGAAATTGTCCGCGACATCAAAGAAAAACTGTGCTACGTCGCCCTCGACTTCGATCAAGAAGTTCAGACCGCATCCACATCATCCTCATTAGAGAAGAGTTACGAACTACCCGACGGCCAAGTGATTACCATCGGAGCAGAACGATTCCGTTGTCCGGAGGTACTCTTCCAACCCTCATTCATTGGCATGGAAGGTAGCGGCATCCACGAAACCACTTATCATTCGATCATGAAGTGCGACGTGGATATCAGGAAAGACTTATACGCTAACACTGTTCTTTCTGGAGGTAAATGCTTTCTTCTTTGCACCACTGAAAACTAAGGACGCTACCCACACAAAAATAAAACGACTAATACTACCGTAATCACGTCGAAAAAATCATAGTAATAAACCTAAAATTACAGGCTCCTCAATGTTCCCCGGCATCGCAGACAGGATGCAAAAGGAAATCCAAGAATTAGCCCCTAGTACCATGAAAATTAAAATCATTGCACCACCAGAACGCAAATATTCGGTATGGATAGGTGGCTCCATCTTAGCCTCCCTTTCTACCTTCCAACAGATGTGGATCTCAAAGCAAGAATATGATGAATCCGGACCACAAATTGTGCATCGTAAATGTTTCTAAGTACATAATATTTATTGTAAATGCAAGCACGACAAATAAATCCTTTCTCATATCACACGTATCTCGGGTGGCACAAGCAATCAAATTCTGTGGACAGATACAGTACTTTAAATTTTATTATCACAAGTATGGCGCTGGCAAAACGTAAAGAACCTGACAACATTGAGATTAAAAAACGTAACCGAGTATCCAATGAGATATAATAACATGATTAAATACTAAAACATGAATCCACAAAAAAAAGCTACTTTGTAATGAATAACAAAGAAAGAGGACTTTGCACAATAAGTAATTTACAATTAAGAGAGAAAACAGAACAGTTTTGTAAACATTTATAAATAACAGTGTAAAGCAAAAGTTTTTAAAATCATGAAAGATCTAGAAATCTAAGTTTAAAACAATTAGCTGCAAGGCGTTCTAGATTTAAAAGCCCATATATCGACAAAAAATAAAGGTAAATGAACAAGCAGGATAACTGTAGGAAATCCTAAGACAAAATGTCACTGAAAAGTATACTCTCCTGTACCAAAACTACTGCAAAAACAGAACCTTTCCAGGTACAAAGTCGTAATACTTAGTAATGAGAAACGGTTAGAACAATAAAAAACATGACATTACCATAAAAACTAAAAAAATCTATTTAACATGATTGTACACAAATATCCCATTCGGACCTGAATGGGTACACAAGGAAAAATGCTGTTTTCTTTTGCCATAAAAAGTACGCCTACATTAAACGTGTGAAGTTTTATGAATGATTATTGTACGGTTTTCACGTACCTGCAAGAGAAAAGTGCAAAATAAATGATAAGAAGCAAGCCACTACACTAGACGACAGCAGCAAAAAAACAAAAATGTTATAGAACACCTGTAAATCTCCAGTGTAACAAGACCAACTCAATCATACTCATAAACTAAGCGTTGACAAACCACATTAGCTTTACAGGAGTTCTGTAATCTCATATCGAAAACTGTCATGAACAATGAAAAAGAGATCTTAATTTAAAAAACTAAAACCAGTTTCCCAAAGAAATAAACAAAAGTGCAAAGAAATTAAAAAACACGATGTTAGAAAGTTAGGTTGAGCGGATTTAATCGTCGCCTTAAGTTTAGAGATTTATGAGTAGTTGGCGTGACATCACAAACTTCCATACCAGTGACACTTTTTCTCCGCAGCGACGTTCGCGCCTTCACACCAGTCCTTAATTCTCTCAGTATCTCACCAGTATTTTCGTGGCCCTCAGACTCAAACGTTTGGCTCAAAAGTTTCTCAAGCTTTTTAGATGAGTGGACACCGTCGGAAAAATAACTTTTGAGACTTTCATTGAAGTAAGGAATTTCCAACTTTTCACGATATTCTTGAAGAACTCTACCACTGAGTGGGACGTGAGATTTCGCGATACAATCAAAAATTATGTTGTAAGCATCCCTCAAAAATACAAACATCTGAGTCTTTTTTCGCTCCCTCAACATCACCATATGACATAAATTACGCACCTAAAAAACCACATACCATTTATTTTCTACCAGAAACTTGTCACCAGTAAAAAATTCTAGCTTTAAAAGAAGTAAGATAAAGTGGGAAACTAAAACCTTTTCAAGGTCATGACGCAATTCGCAGTCAACCCTCAACTTCTTCTTTACCATCATGGATAATTCAGATGTGACTCTAAACTCAAGTTCACTCCGATCTGTCAAAACCATGCGGTTGCCATTATCAGCTCGTTTCAACTTCCAGTACTCATAGAGCTCATCAACGAGGCCTTCATTAATATTTAAATGCCTGGCAATTACCTCTGGAGAAACGTAAAGAAAGAAATCCTCTTCCATCTTTTCTACTGTGCGCTTCTAAAATGAAACCCACGCTTTAACCAAGAAAAAGTGTAGTAAAATGAAAACGAACTTTAAATTTCCGCTCACTACTCCAACACTTCAATTTTTAACGAAGATGAGTCAACCAAAATGTTAAAAATCTGCACATGGTACACATCCAGCAAATAATCATCAAAAAATTTTCAAAGTTTGATTACTTTAAGGCGTAAACCATGAAGATGGAAAAAATAACTCATCAAGACCAATATACTCTCACACCTCCGTTTCTCAAATTTACAAAAACAAGCTAGAACTAGATCCAATAAAACCATCCACCGAGTAATACCCTTTATTACCAAAAGTCTTCGATGCACAGGTCCACTTAAATGTCTCCCCGATTGACATTAACACGTTGCTAGATTTACGTTAAGCAAACAAAACATCCAAGAGTAAGAAGGGAAAAAAAAAGCTCTGAATCTCAAAAAATGTCTCCCAGAAAGATATATTTAATACACAGCAGACAATAACCACAAGCAGAATCTTCATAAAGCTACAGATAAACTTCCTACTATTCCTGTCCCTAGCTTTTATCTTTCACCCAAAAATTAAAGATAACGAGCCTTAAAGATTAGTTCTAACATAACAAAAAAATTTCACTAAGAACAAAACTTCCATAACTTGTTGCGTTAGTAATCCCAGAACTTGTATGATGGAAATTTCTATTTACAATTAATTACTTGCTAAGAAAAGATATAAGATAGAATTTTTGGTATCAATGACCTATTCAAGTTCCCTTCATTTGATTACTTCAAGTTTATTAGGCAACTATTTCAAGTACGCAGATAAAAAAAGGCGTACGCAGTCTCTTAGGTGAAGAGTTAAAATTTTACATTTGCTGTTTAAAGAGCAAGACTTTTTGAAACAAAATAATGTTCAACTTTCTTAAAATCCTATCCCTAAAACAAACGTTTTCTGCCACAAATACTCCTACTAAAATCCCATATATCTTGATCCTGAAAAATACTACAAAGAAAAAAACTTCTGATCTGCAAATCAACATAAAACAACGTAAAAATATCTACGGTTGGTAAAACACATCGCAACGGCGTTTCACTAGTTCGCCTACATATTGTGGCTTTACCAAATCAAATGACGGAAAAATAAACCTCGCACTGGTCTCGGCATTCAAAACTGCAGTGAGTTTTAGAAAGCTGATATTCTCTCCTCGAGTGTCTGTTGCAAAAGCTAAGCATACGAACATTTTCAGTTCCAGCGTGTTCAATTCTCATGACCTATAAGAAGTGAAAAAAAAAGTTAGGTCGCCACAAAAATACTTAATTTTTTTCAAAACTGCATGCATTACATATTTTTCTCGTAAAGCACAAGTAACATGAAATGCTGTGGTGCAAGAACTGTCTGAACACTGGATGCAGGCTCCTACGCTTGTATCGCATACGGAACACCTTAATACCGACATTTTACTAATAAAATAACTGCAAAAAAAAAAAAAAAAAAAAATTACATAACCGTAACAATCAACTCTATTCAACGTTTAAAAAAATTAAATCTTCAAACCTCAAATTCCATCGTCCATTCGGGACGTCATCAACCTTTGTAATCGGTTCGCGTCTAACATGATTCCCAAAACGCACCTCGGGGATCCACAAAGCGCAAGATATGTGTGACCATGTGTCCCCATCCTCTGTCACTTTCATAGGGCCGCCAGAAAACGGACAAAAAACACAAACTGGAGCAAACTAAAAGTGATTTCGTTAAGACATTGTATTACCGTTTTTAAACAAGTGACAAAAAAGTCAAGACAGTACACAAACGTCAAATTCATTGCAAACATCGCAAATCCAATCCCCCTTAGGAAGAACCTCAACACCGTAACAAGACTGATGAACAGGCACCATACAACTTTCGCAAAAAACAATAGGGTCATCTTCTTCATAATCAGCCTAAACGAAAGAAGCTCAATAAACAGCAATAAAGGTTAGACCAAATATTAATCTTGCATACTTGGCCACATATCTCACAACACGTCTCTTCATCTCGATCAGCATCTCTTCTTCTTATTATTGGAGCCAAAAGATCATGATGTATTGCCTAAATTAAAGCTTGTCAAACATATAAATCAATAAAAATGAATAAAAAAATCTTGCTTTTGCAAAATCTCATAGATAATTTCTTGAAAAACACTCCACCTGGTAACAAGAAACTTCAAACTGCTCCATAATCAATGCAAACTGTTTTAATTCAATATGTGGAAGATGCAGTGTAAACCGCCGTTTATTCAGCAGTTTAAGGAATGCGAGGTCTGCCTGATCACACTGGTACTGGCAGAGAGGCGGCATTGTGGTTCTCACAAAATGATCATCAACATATTTTCTATTGTGGACAGCAATCAACCGATCTGGCCTAAAAGAATTCATTTGAATAATATTTTGCCTAAATGATTCTGTAAAAACACCTAAGCCAAGATAAAGGTCTAAAACGCTAAAAAAACTATCTGTGAAAAAGCCGACGTTTACAGAAAAAAAATGCAGACGAAGAAGCTGAAATAGAAAAAAGACATTTAATAATAAGAAAAACAGTTAGAAAAAATACATTTGAAAGCCTTTTTTTGAATATCCAAGCGAATCTGAGGAACATGGAATATTGCGAACAACAAATTCAGTGAGTTTCTCATTTACAGGTACCTACAACAAACAAGAACATAAATCGCCAAATGAAGTATGCAAGGCCTCATAAAAAAAAGTCCAGTTTGAAAAAGATTTAAAACTAACACGCCTCTCTTTGAAGAAAACGAATTTTAAAAGAAAACAAACAAATAAATAATCACCTGAACCCCTTGATTCCAGTCCTCCTTCCACCGATCCTTTATTCGAACGAAATCATCATCGTCTGAGGAGGAATCACTTCCATCATCTTGATGACGAAAATCAGTCTTATACATTTCGGCACACTGTTCACCTTAAAATTTTAAAAATTGATCAGCACCTAAAAATAAAGTTATCGGAATTAAGCTAATATATACATGATATATTAAACTTATCCAAATGAATCATTTGTTAGCAAGTTAAGTATGAGTTGAACTAAAAACTGCCAGCAAGTGAATAACAAGTGAAAAGCAGAGCATACCATTATTAACTGTGTAAAGCTTTTTCTTTTTCACGTGCAACTTCCCGTCCAATGAATCCGAACATGCAAATGATTCTAAACGCAGACAACTATAAAGCTTCAAATAAAAATAATGTTAAGCTTTCGGAAGTGTTTATGCCGAAGCTGTGCGAACCGAAAGCCAAAGCCAACCTTCTGCACTTATACGGATATGCTTCCTTCGCCTCCTCTTCTTCAGTAATGCAGAATTCCTCCGCTTACGCCCAAGCAACACCAGCGAAGCACCCACTAAATAAAGATCGGCTATAACTCAAGCAGAACAATTCCAAAATGAAAAAGTTTGATTTTAAGAGACAACAACTAGGAATTACTTTAGAAATTAAAAAGTCGATAAAACACAAAATACATTTTTAGTGCTATAAAACTAACATTTAGACACTCGGATATCAAGGTCTTGCTTTGGTGCAGAAATAAGAGCATGTTTCTTCGTGATTGGAGAACCATCGTCACTTATATGACCTGAACATGGTGTTACTGATGATAGACAAACGTCAAAATTAATGAGATAAATCAAAATTATGATAAGTAAATTGATTTAATTTTGAATTTACTTCATGCGGAAATGAAAACTACTATTAACTTCTTTGCTAAAAAAGCTGCAAAGGTAACTGTCATACAAAAGAAGAAAGAGTGAAAAAATTAGGCATTTCAAATGATCAACCTTTCAACCTCCCCCTATCGCCACCTTAACCAACTATAATCCGCAAAAACTTATTAACCCTAACTTCCTACTTGTCAACTTTCTGTGGGCCCGAAAGATGCGTTTCGTAGAGAGTTCCACGTCAACTCTTCTATTTTCCAGCTTTGCTTCCATTACAAATCAAGGAGCTAATGTTAAAAAAGTCTAGTTAGCAATTATGAAGTAAAAAAGCAACATATTCCCAACCTCTTAATGAGTAACGAGGAACGTTTTGCAGTTTCTTTAAGCCCTCTCCTTCATATGTAGCATTCAAAGCTACATTCCCATCCGTCCTACCTTAAAAAGCACTTTTCATCAAACAGCATAAAATCCGCTAAACACAATTTTATTTCCTGGGCTGAAAACAAACTTTGATCTTTGAAGTCCAGTTTTCTTCGCCGACTGAATAAAGCATTTTCAAGCAAAACGTCGTTCCTTTTCCGCATTCTATCTTGCTGAATCACAGAATTCGCTCTCCTCATTCTTAACGGCCCAGCTTTGGCACACAGCACGGTGTTAGCAGCATACACGCTTAAAGACCTTTAATAAAACAGCCTCCGATGGTAGCTTAAGTTCACCTATTAGAAACTCTTTCCACATTAACCCGATAAAAAATTAAACACTTCTTTCCCAACTAAACAGGTAAAAATTGTAAACTAAACCACTGAAAGATTCTGATACTCTTTTGAGTGCTACACAGGGAATTAACGTCATGTTATTCATCCTTTCGAGGCTTACCATTTCCATCTTCCTTTCGAAAACCTTTTGCTGATTATTTCTGATGCTGCAAATACATGGGAAGTATTACAAAGATATAAAACAGCTGCGTGCTCAAATTGTAAACAAATTTTTCGCGCATCAACCATCTGTAAATCTACCAAAATTAGGCAACAAACAATACTTATAGAGATAGGGAGACGAATAGGATTAATCCATCCCTACTCAAATCGCTGAAAAATCAACGAAATAAACTCCGCCCAACCAAAAATAAAAAATTTTCCTCAAACATCAATTCCCAGCTTCGAAACTTCGGGTACAAATAAGTGATGCACAGCGGATCAACACGCACAATTCCGAAGTATTATACCGCGCTACGAACGTTTTACCTGCAAGACTACTCATCACCTATTGCAGCCTAATACCTCCACAGTCACATATATACTGAGTATTACAAAGAATATCGAGAAGAAATATAATGAGTGCTGGCAATTATCGGAGGTACTGGAGAGTCAGCATTGAATGGCCAGCAAAAATCATCTTCTTTTAGTCGAAGCTTTCAGGTCACAACAACAAGTGTACAAAAGATGCATTGGTTACTGACAAGTTGGGAGAAGGCAGTTACAACCGTAAATCGTCCGCAAAAAACCCCATATGAGAGTTTGTTTATATTTTATTTGCAATCCTCATTACATGGAGTAAACCTCCGTCCTCAAAAACCTGAGCTTCCCCGTTTAATAATTTTGTATCACATGAGTTGTCTTATTGTTCTTCTCATCCAGCCGAACTATACCGTATTCTGATCCATTCGGAGTCATCCCATAATCTTAGCTTTTCTAGACAGCTTTTTTCTAGACAGCTCTAGACTGAACTTTCTTTATGCTATTCCATCATTTCGTGCTGTTGAAGATTTCGCGTGCACGTAGGCTGCACTCACCGACTATACCTATAAAACTTCCTATTTTTTTCAAAAAATAAAATAAAGACCGTTCGAGATGGAATCTTTAAAAGCCGAAAATGTCAGGTCATCTTTTCCATTTCTTGTTTAAATCCTAACAGAAGCCAAAATGAAATCTCCGATATCAATTGTTAGCAATATTAAATACGGATTCTTTACTGATGTAGTTTAATATTGCTTTATTATTTCATTTAAAAAGCGGTGAGGTTGCTGCTGCCCAATTGCTCCAGAGGATGCTCTTTTAAGCATCTGATAACTGCAAAGGTTCAATGCTTATGTCTCCATCTCTGAGAAACTGAAAATTTTGAAAAACAGACCTAAGCCTTTCATTCTATCCGGAGCTGTTTTTTCCAAATACTTCAAAACAGGACTTCACTGGACATTCTTTCCAACTAGCCAGTATTTGACCCTTAGGTCGTCTTCCTCCTCAGCAATATCAGTTTTAAGTTCATCCTCATTTGTGGACCATACTAAAGTCGTAAAATCTGCCAGGCGACTAAATATTTATTAAATTGTAACAACAGTCTTCAGCTGAGTGAAGGTTGGAGGGCACACTGTTCTTAGGCAAACATTAATATCATCATTTCAATCCATTAGCTTTTTTAGATTATTACCACTAACCTTCATATAAAAAATGAAGTCATCATTGAAATGGAAGTGTTAACTGTTGTTATCATTTTTTTTCTTCTAAAGTTGAAACTGCACCTAAACTGTTAATGAGGATACAATAACGTGCAGATTAAACCAGTATTTGCGACCTTTAAACTGTTTCACACTTCCTCGATTTGCCATTTCTTTCCCGACCTAAACGCTTTTAATTAATCTGTTTTCTAAAATCAAAAGTTCTTTCCGTCGTCACTTCCTAGGGCAGGATATTTCTTATCTCTATTGAAATCGGAATGGAATTTTCTTGTCTTGTCCTCCCTTACTCTCTCCAACCATACTCGTTATCGCTGAAGCAAGTATAAGAGTAGCACCTCTTAAGAAAATTAAGCTTGATGACAAACTTACCACCAAAAAGTTTAAAAAACTTAACTGGAACTCAACTAGTAACACTATGGAACATATGGGACAAAATCTGACTGACTTTTGCTTATACAACTCCTTCCAAACCCCTAACTATGGGCCTTCAAATTTTTCGGACTTTCAGCGAAAAAGTGCCGCCTTTTAATTGAGGTTCATGTGCAATTTCTTTGGTAGGAAACAAGCTGCTCGTTATGAAAAAACTGGGAATCTATGCTTCTAATAGTGAAAAGCTGGTATTTACTCGGTGGCGAGCTTATAAGAAGATATTGAACTCAAATAACTATTTCCGTTATGGTTTTTTGAAAGGAACACCAATCGTATTTTACATGACACCTTCATATCGATACAAAATAGACTGCTGGAAAGTAATTCTCGCCTTCATAACAGCCGTCTAGCAGATAGACAGTCTCCCAGTATAATTTTTTCCAGGATAACTTACCTTACCTTAACACTCCGTAAGCCTTAACACTTAAGTGCAAACAGCTTTCTTAAGATTTCAAACGGTTATCACAATAATTAGGTGTCCTGATTCCAAATTTAGCAATAGTTACCACAAGCGTACTATGGAACTGTTGTAGTTTAAACGGCAGTTCAGCCTTATTTTTGTCAATAATATTTACCTTCAGCATTGAATACGAGCTTTTTATTCTGTCGTGCTTACAACTCACAGTTTCAAGCGTCTAGTTATTTGCGCTTTACTCTTTTATAACACTGCTACAAGACTGTTTTTGTTAAATATATGTTCTGTCAACCCCCAGGTGTTATGTATTTTGGTAGTCTCGTGCCTTAACATTTCTAAACTTTTGGATTTAGCTTTGACCACAATTTGTGGTGTACTTCCTCAATATCGGCTGTCGCTTCTAAGAGTTTTTATTTTTTGGAGTTGAATACGTCAGTGCACCACACATTAATGCATCACATCATCTATTCTGAAGCCTCTCAGACTTTTTAAGTGAATTACATCTTCTTCTAGGAACAGATATGGTTAGAGCTTTCTGCTAGAACGCGTCGTCACCACCGCTTGTCAGTACTCACTTCTTCACTTACTTTTAAATTTGTCAGTTTTATTTTACAACAAGTAAATGAATACCACGCGCGTTACGTTTAGTAAAATTTTTAGCGAAAAAAATTTAGCAGTTTAAAAGCATTAGGCGTTCTTGTTAAAAATTCCTCACGATTCACTGCAGTTTTTGTAACCAACCCTTAATCTCAGAATCTCCAACCGCCAATCGGTGTTCTA